CTATCGCATTCTGTACCCAGAGCCACCATCAGAGCCAACAAAGGGTCAATTCCCGTTTACACTGATATTTGTAGACTCAGCATCCGTCAACCGCGTCGAGCTTATGGGAGAAGGCCTCCGGGTATGTGTTACGCTCAAAAATTGCCCAGCTTTTCGTCCTTTGTTTCTGTATCTCTTGAGCGAAATTTTGGGCAGGGGACGGGAACATGCACCTAAGTAGGGATTACCTATACCTTCTCAGCGTCCAACAAAGGCGTAGCGTATAGGTGATACATACCCTTCCTTCTTGGAACTCTCTTCTGGTGCCCCGTCGAGCCCGTGGAGACGAGAGGACCAGCTCTTGCATACGAGTTGCTGCGCGCTCAGGCGTTCTTGCTGGGAGCATTGCTGATGGGTAGGTAATCTTAGAGAGCACAATCGGTGATCGAACTTCGAAAGGTCAAAGACATTGAGGAGTCGTGAGCGAAGGATCTTGGTGGAGAGCCTGGCGGATTCCTTCACGCATCGCGCCTGCCACATCGATGCAGATGGTGCCGTGTACTACGATCACTAATAGCTGTGTATCGACAATGCTTGAGACAAGATCTGCGCTTCGTCCTACCTACACATCTGGCAAACAGACCATATGTAGTATACACCAATGCCCCTTTTTTCGCCACTCCGTCTTACAAGCTTTCTGTCAAAGCCGCTGAGCACATTGTCAACGGCGTCGCCGTATCTTGCCATTTACATTGAGCCCATGGAAGCAGAAAGCTTGTGTAGACTACCTTCTATTGACGTTTGTGTAGCTATGTAGGGGAACAGTGTTCGCTCGTTCTTCTTCACCAACCCGTTGTAGCAGAGATACAGAATTCCACCAAATTGGTCTGCATCCCCGTTCGTACATGATTGTAGTGCCTCCCTTCACCAGTATCCCATCTTTGTAGACGTAAGCAGGAGCCTGAGGAACGCAAGGGAGGTCAGGGTTCGGTGTCACGGTCGCAGGTCCGCTGCCAGTATGCCTCGCCGCTTCCTAAGCTCTTTCCACGAACACGTTCCTGCAACTTCAGCATCCAGGGAGTTCGTTTGGAGATCATCATCGAGGCATCGGTATCACCCTTCGACTGTTTCCCTCCTCTGGAATCCTGCAGATACGTAGAGGCTGCCCTCGCTCCTGCGCATCGTCCCTCTGCGTGCAGGCCTCAATATCCACACACATTGCCTACCCGATTCGGCTGCTCTTCAGTTCGTAGGTGAGATATCACTAGTGTGCCCCGCAGGAAAAGAATAAGTCACCTAACAAGCTCGCTAAGCCTTTAAATCAGGGCCAAGAATAGGGAGAATATTGCAATATAGTTTACAGCAAGAGCACCGCACCTTCTCTGATCGGATGCTTCGGCCAAAATTTGGGACTATTTTTGCTCTCGCTCCTCCCGTTTTCTGGAGTCCAAACAAAAATCTGGCGTTGGTGCAATAAATCGAAGAAGAGACAGGACGAAAAGCGTTCGCTTACCCTTTTTTTCCCTAGAGTTGCCACCTAGAACGTTTGAAGCATTTGTTTCAGCGAAAGCAATCCACCCTTTCAGCCTCTGAAACTTGGTCCAAAAATCAGACGATTTTTGCTCCATCTTTCCCCGTTCTGATGGAATTCTCCGATGCTGTGGTCGTGATGCCATAAATCGAGACAGCATTTCGGCAGGCTTTTGGGATTTTGGTCCTTGGCAATGCCCAGAGAGTTGATCTGGGTGATCTGGTGATTGCGCTAACGGAGGCCCCTCAGGTATAAGTATCTGGGTTTTCTCCCAATATTTCTTCTTTTTTCAACATCACCTTCCACAGGACTGGGGACTCACCGGTTGAGGCCCCCCAAGCACCCTCTCTTCACTTCGCTAAGTCTCCCTTCCTTTACCTCCTAACATTTCCTATTCCTTCCTCACACTCACTTGGGTCAGTGACCTCGCTGACGCTGTCGCAGACTACCTTCACCCCGGCCCTACCCCCTTCCCTCTGGGCAAAGTCCCAGCGTGCCGGATGATGTTAGGAGCCATATAATTGCCACTTAGGGGGACTCCTGAGCTGGGCCTTCTTGTGGCGAGTCCTGTTAATTCCCTTCGGGGTAACTGACGCAGCTCTTCTCCTTTCTTTCCTTTATCTTACTTCTTCTTCCTTCTCACTCCTACTCTTTTCATCCTCTCTCTCTCTCTCTCTCTCTCTCTCTCTTTCTCTCTCCTCATCCCTTCTCATCCTTCCCTTGCCTTCCTTCCCTTCCCTACCATCTCTTCTTCTCTTCCTTCCCTCCCTTCCTTATCGGCCATATATCTGAATTTATCTTGCTATCTGTTCCGATCTAGTACCTCAGCACGGTCTTGGGCTTTGTCGCAGCGCTGGGGCTCAACCTTTCGGGGTTGCTAACTAAGACCATCTCCTTACTCTCTTCTCCTGTCTTCTTCCTCTTCTCATCTTTCTGCTTCTCCTTCCCCTTCTACTCCTGCCTCTGACCTCGCTGCCTCTGACCTCGCTGCCTCTGACCTCGCTGCCTCTGACCTCGCTGCCTCTGACCTCGCTGCCTCTGACTTCGTCGCCTCGAACTCACGACTTTCAACTTTGTCGCCCATCCCCTCGCCGCCTCTTACCACGCTGCCCTTCGCTCTATCCTATACTATTCCAGCCTGATCTCACCTCACCTCACCTCACCTACCTTCTTCTCCATACCATCCCAACCTATCCCACGCCACCCTCTCATACCAACCTCTCCTACGCTATCCTCTTCCATCCCAACACCATCCCAACACCATCCCAACCTTCCCTCATCTTACTTACCCCTCCCTCCCTACCTATCTGCCTCCATCCATTCCATCCATCCCATCCCATCCCATCCCATCCCATCCCATCCCATCCCATCCCATCCCATCCCATCCCATCCCATCCCATCCCATCTCATCCCATCCCATCTCATCCCATCCCATCCCATCCCATCCCATCCCATCCCATCCCTTCCCTTCCCATCCCTTCCCTTCCCATCCCTTCCCATCCCTTCCCATCCCATCCCATCCCTTGGCATCCCATAAGCCCGTGTCTCTCCTCCATGCGAACATCTATCTGAATGTATGGCTATATCTTCCGATGTACTGCGGGAAGAATCTTGGCCTTGACGCGGCCCCGCAGCTCAACCTTCGGGTTGCTAACAAGATTCATCTCCTTTGTCTCTCTTTGGGTGCTGGTCTCTCTTCTCTCTTCTCACTTCTCTCCATCTTCCTCCTTCATCTTCTGCCTACCCTTCCTCTCTTTTTCTCGCCTCTATCCTATGCCTTCCATCGAATTCCATGCCTTGCATCCCCATCCCTTCAAGTCCCATTCCCACCATGCCAGCCCAGCTCAGCCCACGTCTCTTCCATCGTCGATCACCTATCTGAATATATCATTGTATATGTCTCGATGTACCCTAGTATGGGTTTGGCCATGACGTGGCACTAGGGTTCAATGGATCTCCATTGCCAACAAGACCAATCTCCTACTCTTCTAATTCATTTCACAACCTTGTACATAGATAACTAGAAGAACAACCAATCAAGATAACATCCATACAAAATACTATCAAGTACTTGCCACAAACTGTATGCACTCTGAACCATCTTGATCGTTATCGCTTAAAGAAAAATTAATCTTTGCGCAATGAGCTGTACTCCATCGACCACAGATTGCGCAGTGATGAGGCAGATCTGCTCGTTCTTGCATATGAATGAAGTAGAAATAGATTGATTGCTACGGAGAGTTGACCGCAAGCGCTGCAGAGTATGACCCGAAATGCACAACAAAAAAACAAACAAAGTCCAAAATAGCACCGCGAGAAGATGAAAAATTGAGCACGAGTTATACATCCCCAACTAGTATGCATGAATCTTTAGTAGGAAGGATGGTGGTCGCTGTCGAGATCTACACTCAACCTAATCTTGTTGAAGCCTCAAGACCGAGCGACTCAAGAGATGCCGCAAATGCCTAACAGGAACACTTATCGCACATGCCGAAGACGTAGCAGGCGTTTGAAAGTTCTCGGGATATGTCGTTGCGAGAAGTTTAGTGGCGAGAGACAGCCGTGTGGCGGGTGAATATTAAACATCGGTAGGGCATGGGATACGTGGCATTATTGGCACCATAGAGCTCAGCGTGTTATTTGGGACAGGAGACGGTAGTGTGATGTTGAAGTCCTTCTTCATGAATTAGGGACGAGAGTTGATGTATTGTTTCGAGTTGTTGCAGATGATTGGAGGGGGGGGGGGAGGAGACGTGAAGAGTGGAAGGGTTGACTCGGCTTGCGTCTTTGCGTAGGGCTGACTGACTATGGGTACTTTAATGAGGTCCACATGTGTAAATTACAGCAGTCTCGGCATATAAGAATTTACGGCTTGAAATCCTTGCACTTGTGCACATCTTGGGGTCGTTAACATCTACACGAGTCCTTAGGATTCTTCAGACGCTCTAGTTATTACGGCGTGGATATCGACACTCTGCGAGACAAGGATATTGGTAGCCAAGGTAAATGACCTTACCTTAAGCTCTTCGGTACGTCAACCTCCACCCTCTCTATCAGCCTCTACCAATGTGCTCCAGTACCGGCAGTCTCAGGCGTCAGATTCTTGTAAATGGTCGCCGTATACTCAATCCAATGAGCTTGCACATTCTTCCGATGCTTATACCTCTGCCGTGCAACCTCCTCCAAATCTCCCCCAGTGACTTCCACCGCTTTCATTGACACTTGCCATGAAGGTTTCCCATCGAGGCGAGCTACCAGCTCTGTGACTCCCCGCATTGACAGTAAACGCAAGCAATTCACCCTCCTGCAAAAAAGCAATGGCTCTATCCACAGCCTCGAGCGGCAAGTCACCATCTCCGGGACCCAAAGCGGCACAAATGATCACTACATCCGACGACGAGGGGAGTTGCGATTCCCGTGGTTGAGTCAGATCAGCGGCCACAAAACCGTGGTAGACGTTTGGTCGATTCCTTAAGGCAGCTGACCGGGCTCATTCTAGAAGATTGGTATCGATGAGACTTCGGATTCCAGGCTTGCCTGGGAGCTGCTTCCGGAGCTCCGCGCTGACGATATCGTTGCCGGCTGCTACGTCCAAAACGTCTGAAGGACCGACGAGTTTTTCGGAAACAGCAGAAGATGCGAGATGCTGGTTCAGAAATTGCATCAGGGTTCGCGGAGACTCGAATGCTAGCAGTTCGTGGACGATGTACCTGTGAAGGATTCTAGCCTGCCATAGTAAAAGCGCCCGGACAACCTTGACTTACTCATAGAGACCTGGCTGAGCATACATGGTATTGTAATCGTGAATGCAAATTTTCTGCTTCCGAGCCATTGCTTTGAGCGTGATATAACCCGCCACTACCGGAATCCCTTCACTTACACTGTTTTTTGCAACGTTCTCATTCTGCCATCTGCTGATTTTCAGGTTGTACGCTATCGAAATAGTAGTGTCGGAGGCGTCTTTCGGTACGATGAGCATTTTGTAGTGGTTGGGGTAGTTTAAGTTGAGATCCGGGCCAAGCTTCTAATCCGCCGCTCCTTTTCGCCGTGGTTGATCATGAATGGATGGGGAAGACGAGTTGATACAAGATGGTGATGACCGCTTGGGACCACTACTTCTGACGTCGACGGCTGGTACGTTGTAACCCCATATCTTCCCAAGCATGACTTCTTCAGTGCTGGTCACGGACGTAAGAGCGCTAGTGGGATGAGGCAACCTCAAGGGACGCAAAGCGTAAACATGGTCGGAACTGGCTGGTCGGAGAGTAACATCCTTTTTGAGTCCCTCCCTGGGTAGATCGCGCGAGGCCAGCTCGCGTCTGAGGCGGTCGACCTTCACTGCCATCTAAACTCCGCAGGACGGCATGTTGGTGATGGAACTGGACTTACAATGAGTCTTGAACAAATTCGGTATCCAAACAATGGTCTTTGAAAAGTAAGAGCAAGTGACAAGGGATTGGAATTCGATGAACAAATGAGGAGGCGCAATTTGAGCAGCGTACTTTCCTGGAGCTGCGCCGCTTTGTTCTTTTTTGTATATGGAAATTGAGAATATGGTAACTAGGCAAGGATAACGAATCGACCCACACTGAGTATCACCCATGAAAAAGCGACCCGTCAGATAGTCTATTGGGTTGGCTGGTTCTTTCAAGGTGGGAGCAACAATCTTGCATTCTTTCGTTCAATGAATTCCCAACGTGACTTCATCCTCATCATCGTGCCCAGTATTTACCCCACGCTCAAGATCTCTGGCAGTCGGTTGGTGCACTTAGAGGAGTACCCTGGTATCTCTTTCTCTGGGATGTGTAGGTTCGCCGGATAAGGCGATGCGTCTGACAACTCATTCGAATCATAGACTTCTTTCAGTTCCCTAGTTAATGGACGCTGTGAATCAAGGAGTCGTGGTAGATAGATGGCAAGCAGGGGACGAATGGCCGGAATCGAGACACACAACTGAGATCCGTTAGCGGTCTCTTGCCCAAAGAATAACACATAATGGTACGCACAATCCCCAAATCCACCTCGATAGCACTCGCAATCCAAAGTGGCCACCCAACCCACGTCTCATCATAGCTCTTTCCAAGCGCCTCATTCACGTATACTGCCTGCCAAATGCCCGCTATACACACGATGAAGCCCATCGCGAAGAGTGTAAGGACGGCTATGCGCTGTTTCAGAGATAGTTGAAGGGTCCAGACAATGGGAATAGGCATCAGAAGGAGTAAGAAATGTAAAAAGATGGTAATGATGCTGAAGGACAGCATATAAACGCCTTCGTTGATGCAAGTGTGGGAGTACGTTGCTAAAGGGGTCCAGAAGGCTGATAATGGTCTAAAATTGTGTCAAGAAACTCGACAAGTAGCTTTGCAGCTGGCCATATTTCCGAGATTGACTGACTTGCATGCGCTGACAGCCACAATAAAGTAAGCGAGAAGCATTGCTGTATGGAAAGCCAAACCCAGTACTATACACCATCTATACCACAAAGGGGTGACAGGGCCTGTGAGCCGCTTATAAAAGGCCAGAAGAGACATTTTGTTCAACGTTGCCGCCCAGAAGAACAGTATCTGCGCTGCCAAACAGAGCTTATATCCAGGGGGGCCTTTTGATGAATGTAAATCCCATGAGTGTCGATTCCAGCCGAAATTGTTATCAGCGACTAGGACAACGCATGTTGAGGCGAACGTGGGCACCTAGTGGAGCACGTTAAAAGGGGAATGGCATCAGAATCTAGGCTGTTTACCAGAGAAATGCCATTACCCAGTCGTCGAGACCAAAGCTTTTTGTGATCCGCAGGCGCGTGTAGTATCTCAATCCCACAACGACGAATACAAGTATTATGAAAATAATGTTCACGACTGTGAGCCCGGGGCCTCTTGTCGCGGGATCGACGAAGTTGGGTGCTGGCCAGCTTTCCATGATCTCTTTGGTCGGATGCACCATGGCAGACAGCCACTCTGAGACACGGACAATGTCTGCTCACAAGAAAGAATCAATTGATCGGAATGCTCAGGTAGCGGATGGTGAGAAGCGCACAAATTGGAGGGCCTCCAGAAGACCTTAGCACACCCTTGAAAGACCCACAATCTTGTGTCATCTTGTGCGAGAGACTTCGGTTAGGAAATGAAGCATCTTAGTTTTCGAAAGTCGTAGGTAGATTTCTGCTGGAAACGACCAGGCGGGACGACCGGTTTAGCAACAGCCATGAAACCGCGAAAATAAAATCTTTATTTTAAATTGTCTAACTTGTCATTGTTGATGAGTGGCGAGAAATGGTCGTCACCGTCAGAAAGCCTCGGCATTTTGGGTCGCTGGCATAAGTTACTTTGTATACGAGCAAAGAACCGCACCTGTCCAGTTGGCCACTTTTTTGAAACGGTGAGCCCTGTGAAGGTTTTCGATTGCAGATATTCCTTCTCTTGCGGTTAACCTTCATCAATATCGGGATCTGAACCGTTGCAAGTGTCATTTACGTTGAATAGCCTGCCCGGTGCCTTGGTCTCCGGCTATGTCTTTCCGGATTGTTTGGGGTGTCATTTCTGGTGAGTGGGGATCATTTCTTTGAGTCTCCTGGTGGCGAAATCTCCACAGTAATACCCTGTCCTCGATCTGATCTTCCGCTGATCTTGTATTGCCCTGCGATCAAGTCCTTGGCTACAAGCTCTCGTGTCCTTCCTAAGCTCTCAATAGCAGAGATCCGGTCGAGCGTAGCTTGCAAATGTTTCTCAAATCCAGGCTCGCTGCAGATCTGACGAAAAGCATTCTGCATAGGAACAGAGTCAGCTCGTACCATGGCTTGCGCATCGATGGTGAATATGTTGATGTGGTCGTAGCTCCGGATGAAATCTGCTCTTGTCATGATCTCCCTGGCTATATGCAGAGGTAATTGCGGTAGCAGTTGGCCCTGACCTGGATGGTTGGTCCCTTTGCCGAGGATCTCTTTCTCCTGGTCGACAAGAGCTTTGGCCAATACCATAGCTGCTGCCGCGTATTTTTGTTGATCCATTACATCGTCATCCATGTCTTCGCCTAAGATCCAACACTTGTTCAGGAACCAGGTCTTCTCTGTTCCACAAATGTGATCACAAGTCTCTAGCATGTCCACCGATTTCGCAACACGGTTAAGGAAAGTCAGCCGCCCACCAACTTGGTCGAAGATCTCCTCAAGAACCTGGGTCGAGGGTTCTTCTTTGAAGTTTCTCACACGATACTGTCTCAAGGCGGACACAGCTTGGTCTTTTGGCAAATCAAGCACAGGAAGGACATCCATTCGCGTGGAGTATTGCTTAAGGCGCTCGTAAACCCAGTAGTCATCGCTGTTGAAGACCACGGTGACCAGGTTGCTGGCGGCCCATTGCTCGGCACGTTGCTGGATAAGCTCCAGAAGATCACGACCATCCTCGTCATCCCGTAACAAGTGAGTACTGTTGATGATGAGCACTAAAGGTTTTCCAGCAATTTCACGACGCCTTAAAGCAACTTTTTCCAGCTTATTGAAAGCTCGTTCGATGTCGAGCAAAGCTGTATTTCCCTCTCGGGGGCCTTTGATGCTAAAAAGGCTGCCAATGTAATCCTCGTGAAATTCGTAGTCAAGGGCTTTACCGAGTCGTATACGAAAGATTTCAAGGTCTGCATGCGCTTCAAACATAGAGATGCCCTCCCCACCCACTTTCTGCATGGCATCTAGTAGCATCGATGACTTCCCTGTGCCTTTCTCGCCAATGATGAGATGATAATGTCCGCGGTGCGTACCACTGACAATCTACAGTAAATTTTAGGAGTCAGTAGTACACCTTCAAATTAAAGGTCCGAGCCGTTGCACGAGCCTCAAGACCAAGAGGGAAATTTATGCTCCCCGAACATGGCTTACGAGCCAGACAATGGTACGCATTACCAAGATATTACTTCCGAACATACATACCTGGTCTATTTTGAGTTGCTCGGCCTTTCGTATCCACGGCTGGTCGTCTTCTTCCAGCACTGTACTAGGCACTCCCTTTCCCAGAGCGGCTAGTTCGAGAACTGGGTCGCCTGGTTCAAATGCTTTCGTCATCTTCTTTAGAACCAGGTATTTATAGTACTGCGAACATTTCGGGGTCAGCGTCCCCTCTCGAAGGCAAAGACCCAAATGATGGGACAGCTCGAATAGGCATCAACAAGCTTTTGCTCGAGAATCATGGTTTGTAGGTCGAAAAGTAGTCCGACATGGAAACGTTTAGTTTCAAGGATTTACATACCCGATGATAGCCATACCCTGCCAGCCCCAGTACGAGGATTGAGGCTAATGTTGTGGCTGCGCTTTCAAACATCTTGAAAAGCGTTGGACTCCAGGTGAGTCGGGTCTTCCTTCGCTCAGTCTGCGTACTTTCGTTGGCATCTTCCTCCTGCAGCTGGATCTGCCCGGGCGTGGGTCCGCCAATCCCACCAGCATAACGCTTTGAACGCAGACAGAAGGAGATCTTTGTGGGCGAACGTGTCCCATTGAGCCCAAGGAATGAATAAAATATTGTGTTTTGTTGGCTGTAGCGATTAAGAATGTCTGAACGAAAGCAAGAAGACATGGCATATGCCATCTCGCAGAGATCTAGATTCTGCCAAAGTGAAAGGAATGCAGCCAAGAAGTAGACTATGCAGAACGTAAAGATCACATCGGCCAAGTCATATCTGGGGTCAAATCCTCCGACTAAGTACAATGTCAATCGAGTGATTCATTGAACGTATTTACCCATCGAAACTGTAAGTGAGCTTGGTCAAGGTGGCTCGGGTGGTAGTGACTTTTAGAAAGTTGGCCGGAAACATTTTCTTGGCACATCTGAGCCAATCAGCTTCTCGCTTCACGTCATAACAAAAGACGCGAAATCTCCTTTCGCATGATCATTATTTCTGTTTCATTTCACTCTTCACCCCTTCACCTTCTCCCAAGTTCGCCAGAATCTAGAAGCATGGCAAGGACAGTACAAAGCGATCGCCGGAGACGCCCTTCAAAACCACCAGCTACCATACCAGCTGCATCCCCTGCGGCAACTTCCAAGCTCCCTCCTCGAGTTCGCTTTCCTCTTCTCCTGGTCCTCAGCCTGACAATCTCCTCCCTACTCTATTCTCTCGTCTCGCCCTTCACCAGCGGCGATCTCGCCACTGTCAGCAGGAGTCGCGACAACTGGTGGGAAATAGCTGGATTACTCGGTTGGAAGGCTACTGAGCTGGCTGTTGGGTGGTACGGAGGCTTCGATAGTATGGATCCGGCATTCTATGGTGGCGACCCAAATTTGACTGTGGTCTATAGGTACTGACTTCGCTGCTCTGACTTTCCTAACGCACGTGCCATATCACTATTTCCTCTCAACCTTCTACCTGATCAGGCCGACGACCTCAGCTTACTGCATCGCCATTGATACCTTGGCAGCCTATGTCCCGTTTTACAGTCTCAAAGTCTCCTCCAGCATTCACAGCATCAAGACTCCCAAAGGTGTCGCCGCGAACCGTTCAGTGATCAACGACACCGGGGTTCAGGTATACACGAGCCTTCTCGCAGCAGGCATTTACACCGTGGTCGTCTTTGGCAGCTATGGCACCTGGCTGCCGGTGTATCTCGTGACCCATTTTGATGGCATGCGCGACATTTCTGCAGCGTACAGCCCGAACTTTCCATGGCTCATCCTATCGTTCCTGCCGACTGGCTTTGCAGCAAAGGTGTTCCTCTTCACGCCGGCTACAGCTGCGAAAGCTGACAAATACGACAAAGAAACAGCGGCGTTCAATCCAGAGACTGCTACACTTGGAGATACCATTGTGTACAATCTCTGGGGGTATTCACATAGGGCGAGAACGCTAATCAAGAGGACTGCCACACTGGTTACCGTCGGCGGAGTGCACACCATGCTCCAAACATACGGGTCTCTGGAAGGCGCAGAACTCTTGGGTGCTGCAGGGTGGTCGAGTGTCTGGGGTCTGGCAGCGACCCTGACCGGCGCAGCATTCCTATGGGTGGGAGACGTTGATGGTGTGTAAGGCTGCGAGGCTCTCAGTGGAAAAGCGCATGATTTGGGGAGAGATTCGATGGTGGAGGGTGGAAGAAGTCTGACATGAAGCCGATTTGAGGAGCTGGCGTTCGGCAGGATATACCACGAGAGCAGTATCTTCTTTGAAGTGTTGCCTTCAGATCCAAACTTTCGGCGTCACCAGTACCATGTCTTCCGCAGTTTTAGCCTTCCGAAGCTTCTTCGAATCCCAACATGTCTTACATGCGGAGCAAAACCATGTACTGTCAGGAGCTTTCTTCATCTGTTCTTGCTTCATGAGGTATCAATTCTGTCTAGGTTTCACAATCCCATCATGCACGATATAGTACACAACAGTGCTGTCATCCCCCAACGTAGCCAACAGTACTCTCTTCCCACCCCTCCTCTTTCCCTTCGCCTCTTCGGTTATCTGCCCTCCATGATCCTCAGACGGTTCCTCCCCTACCGCATCAACAACCTCCGCAAACCTCCTCAGTGACCACTTTTCCTGCAGGTGCGTCGGCAGCACCCACTCCCTCTCTACCTCGACCTCGTCATCCTTCACTCCAGCCTTCAGCTCTTCCACCTGCTGATCGGGATGTACATATATCCTCTTCGGAGGCATTCCCGATATCAGCGGCCGTGGGAGCGACGCATTGGTGAGATGCGAGTGCGTATGGATACGGAGGGACGTCCACGAATGCTGATATTGGAGGTTGTGGAGGATTTGGAGGGCGAGGTTGTAGTGGTGAGGGGAGTGAGGGGATGGAGGGGAGTGGGAGGAGATGAAGGAGGTGAGGGCGGAAGGTGGAGGTATGACCGCCGTCATGGAGAATCAACGTAGCCCCGGAATGTTTTGTGTGGAGCAGCAGAAATACTTTGTTAAGCTCGCAGCTGAATTAAACGGGACCAATTGATTTGTCGAGTCAAGCGGGAGAAAATAAAAAGCACCGCAACACCATTGTACCAGCGCCATTAGGCATCGAACCTAATACGAACTAAATACCCCCAACAACAGCGGGGTCGTTGTTGATATAGCACCTTGACCTCGTATATAAACCTTGGTGAAGAACTGTAGCCAATCAGGGCTGAGCCTCAATGCAGGGTCCAGGCTAATTTGGGAAATGTTATAGGGATAGAAGTTCTACAATCGCCACGTCCCTGTCCATTGCTCTTCAATACTGCATTTATTCCATCAAAACCACTGTTTGGAGTTGAGACTTTGTGAGACAAAGTGACTGAGCGTCGCAAACTAGCTCTTGTTCTGCTACCGCCGAGACCCGGTTCCCAACAATGTCCCTCGTCTGACAACTCCAGATCTACAGAACACCACCAGCTGCAGTCAATACCAAAACGGTATCCCTAGGGTGGCTGCGATCGCACTACAGTGATGGCGAGCTCTGATCTCACTTCAACGGTGGCGAGAGATTATGGGGCAAATTCGCCTACGCCTCAAACTCCCTTGTCCGCCCTCGGAGGCATGGACGATTCAACGACAAGGAATAGATCCTCGACTGCTAGCTCGGGCAGAGTAAGAAGCGCTTCGCTCAGGTTTCTAGAGTCAAGCCCACCGGTTGGCATGTGGCAAGCCACCGGTATTGCTCTCGCACAAGCACCAACGCCAGGAGAGATTCGAAGTGGAAGTTTTTCCCATGATGGATGGGATCGAGACATGCAACGGAGGAATAGTACAGTCAGTGAAGAAAGTATAAGGCGGTTGTCCAGATCGAATTCAGCGCAGACGCCTGGGAGTTTGCAAAAACAGCAGACAAATACAAACCCATTGGACGCACATACGGAGGCGGCAGACGAGGGTAGTCCGATATTTCCCACTGTCCAAGAAGGGACAGCATCTAGCCAGGGTACCACTACACAAAAAATGAAGGGTCCTCAAAGACCCACCGCCACAGACGATGATGATGATGATCCATTTTCGAAGTTCGTTGGGCGAGGCAAAATCGATAACCAATCCTACGTCCCGAAATCGAAGACGACCATTTCCGGAAAGGCTGCTCAATCGAAGAGTTCTGCTGATCCGTACGCTATTCCCAACGACGACGATGAAGATGTTGACCCACTTGATGAACGAGACAGTACCAAACGCCTGCCGAAGAAGTTTCAAGATCCCGCAGGTGAATCGGTGTCCGTGACCGGCGAGAAAGGCGAGAAGCTGACCACAATCACCACTGGCACTGCCCGTCCCTCATCCTCCTCATCAACTTCCAAAGAGCCAGGGCCCAACGCCGACGGCGTCTATCCTAATGGCTACAAATTCCCCCCCAAACACACCTGGGGTGAAGCCACAAAAATCGGCCTCAAAGCCTTCTGGAAATTCACTATCACACCACTCGGTTTCCTCATCGTCCTATACGGCTTAAATGTTGTAGCCTGGGGTGGTATGCTATTCTTACTGCTTATTGGCGGGGGTCAAGAATTCATGTGCTACCCACCTGGATCACATGGCAAGAAAGAGTGCAACAACATCAACAGCCCCCGCCGTATCTGGATCGAGATCGACTCTCAAATCCTCAATGCTCTTTTCTGCGTCACAGGCTTCGGTCTCATTCCCTGGCGCTTCCGCGACTTCTACTATCTAATGAAATTTCGTCTCCGCCACGACCAATCTGCGCTGCGTAGACTGGCCGGCATCAACAGAGGCTGGTTCCGTCTTGCAGGGAGCGAGAACCTCCCCATTGATCCTGACGCCCCCGTCGACGATCCAGCGAACAACCCCGCGGTCCCACTACCACCTTCCAAAATCCCCGACGTCCCTCTGACCGGCATCCGTGCACCTGCCACCCGCATGTGGAAACTCGACTATGTGATCTGGGCATTCGTGCTCAACACTTTCCTCCAAGGCGTGCTTTCCGGCTTTATGTGGGGGTTCAACAGGTACAAGCGACCGAGTTGGAGCACGGGAACGTTCGTGGCATTAGCGTGTATCGTTGCCGGACTGGGAGGATTGATGTCCTTTCAGGAGGGCAAGAGGGTGAAGAATTTCGAAGGTATACCCGTAAAGGAAAACGAGACTCTGGGGGATGTGGAGAGGGATGTTGTCGGCGGAGAGAAGAAGAGCAAGAGGAAGGATAAGCCGGTGGCAGGGGAGAAGGATTCAGCACCCGAGGTCGGTGTCCAGTGAGGGTCTCCTTGTGTAAGGCATCGGATTGGATATTTATTTGTTTCAAAGGTATATACAATCTACTATGACGAGAGTATACCTAGACTGCGGCTAAGCCTACCTACTCCTTGGTTGGGCGTTGTTTAATGATGATCGAGTTGGGGTGTGGATTCACGCACTGCATCAAGGCTTG